ATGATAAGTGCGTTGTTGGTAACAAATAGAAGGGAAAGTTCGCTTCCTTTGTTTATCTATTTTTGCATCGCTCAAACTAGTGAAAAGACTTCGTGGGGCAAATGGGAAGTTGTAAAAATTCACATTGATGCCACATTAGTGGAATTTCATGTGGACGAATCTGTCAACAAAGTAATTAAAACACGTCTTAGTGTCAAAATCACGTCGAATGAGCCGAGACATTTATTGACGAACTATAATCAGCACATCGACCTTAAACTCGACCGTTCAATAAAAAACAGCCACCGTCGTGTTAATTGTGAGAGTTATGGTAATGTGAACATCTGATCAATTTCAGTAAATCCGATCAGTTTCCTTGTGGTATGTCGTCGACAGAAGCGAATAAATCCAACTACTACATTCTCGAAGTGGTCATATTGGCTTCCTTATTCCACATCCTAGAGTGAAGATTCCGCCTAACGATTGGTGTGTTGTTACTTTCTAGAAAAGTAGAGAAAATAGCCAAATGGTTGACCTGAGAGTAGTGAGATATTACTCTCGATCCCTCGAAGGAGTGTTTGATATTACACACGCGTTCTATTGAACATACCATTCCTTTTAGGATGTATGTTTTATGAACCAAAACAGTTTCAGAACGAAAATGAATGTTTGGAAATGAGGAAACTACACAATGTTTGTTTGTTTGTTTGTTGTTTAACGCCGCACTCAGCAATATTCCAGCTATATGATAACTGTCTGTAAATAATCGAGTCCAGACAATACTTTGACTGATAACAAGAGCATCGATCTATCCAACTGGGATACAATGACATGCATCAAACCAAGTCTGCGAGCCTGACCACCCGATCCCGTTAGTCGCTTCTTACAATAAGCATGGATTGCTGAAGACCAATTCTAACCCGGAATCTTTACGGGATAACTTCACAATTCAACCCAGATCTTTCTATGTAGCATGCATTGTTACCCAAAGTAATGAAAACCAAATATACTCAACGGCATTATTGTGGGTTCACGCTGGTAATAAGACATTCACGATTTAAAAAAACCCGTCGCAGTTTAAACTTTCAAGAGTGCAGTTCAGTACATCTGACATGAATCATTATATACCGACTGTAACTAGTGATGTATCGACCTGCAGGGGCTGAACTACTGGTTGTGTTCAGGCGTGTGTTTTGGTAGCTTTTTCCATCACCTTCCTTTTGCACTTTTCATTGTTTTTAATAGTTGTTGTCGTTTTGGCAGTTTCATTACACCATCCAATCAGTATGACGGGCATAAACAACACGTTCTTCAACGGTTAATCACATACTCAGACCTGTACACGTATGATGGCATATGTTCATGTTTGACACCCTACGTACCTAGGTTAGCCGCCTCCGTGGTCTTGTGGTAGAGCGTCCGCCCGGAGAGCGGAAGGTCCGGGGTTCGATGCCCGGCCGCGTCATACCAAAAGACGTTAATAGATGGTACTTGTTGTTACCCTGTCTGGCGCTCGGCATTAAGGGGCTAAAACAAGGACTGGTCTGCTCAGAGTCAGTATACTGTGTCTGAGTGGGGTATTCATGTTAAACTGCGGCATGGTATCTCAGTGAGCTAACACTATAAATCGGCATCAGTCCGGACTAGTACAAGCAGCAACACACACACACGTGCATGCACGTCGCTATGTATGTGCAATAATCTTGGACGCGACGTTAAACCCAATTTCACCTCACCTCACCTAGGTGAACCTTCAATAATAGAAGCTGAGTACGTATACCCTAGGCCTTCAACATGACATCTAATATATATGAAGACATGTGACCACGCGTGTATATGAACCAGTGGCCTAGAATGTAAAAGATACATATGACCTAAATGTTTAAAATGATCGATATTATGAACAAATGCAAAATGTAATCAATGCAGTTTGAAGATTACGATGGAACATTTACAGAAACAAAATAATGAACATGCTATAAAATAGAATTTTATACAAAGCATGTACAGAAATGCGATATTTGAGCTTGATGGAATGACCGCCCGTCCTGAGTATTGATCATAGGAAAGCAATTATAGAATGATGGACGCCTTCGGAGGAAATACGTGTATATCCTGTAAAAAAAACTGTACTCGTCACTGATCAATGCTCAAAGATATCCCCACACAATGCATCACCCAGAAAACGTTTCTCAAAGGTTTGCCAATGTCAGCGCGAGTAATCAAGGGCGGAATCAACTTTAGTGCAAGTGCAATGGATTTAAATCCGCCATTTTGGATATAGTTATTACTCTCGATCTCTCTCAAGCCTCAAGTAATTTGTGTCATGCTACTTATAAAATTGGTCCAAAAGGGCACAACATGGCGCAAACAACGTACTAAAATCCCAATTGCAGTGAACTTAATAGCGTTCGTTCGAGAGGGTATGTCATGTCTGTAAGTTCACGGTCTGAGGCTATTCGGCTGGGAATGTTGAGAACTTTGGTATTCATATGCCCACAGCTATTTGCGTTACATACATAACTGTTACAGTATATCAATTTCAATTTCAAGTCAATATACAGGTTATACAGGTTTAAGCGTTTAAGGTTTAAGAATATACAGGTTTAAGCATTCTGACATACAGATACGTATTGTTTTAAAGTCATGAAGAACAATACCTCACAGTTCTTTAATACAGAAATGTTTAAAGCCAATGTTACATAAATCCTTTTGTAACATATCTCTCATATACACTGCCGGGCAAAATAAAGTATCCACTCATGTAACAAACTAAAAATGGTTATTCCATGGTGATGTGTTTGATACGGGATCATCGTTGTGTTTTGGACCTTAAGTTTGCAGTGTTTCGAGGATTGTTATCAGCCTGGTACCGTTTCCATAAAGTTGGCAATATCTTGGTCAAATCCACTTTTCAAGACTTAGTGACTGTCTACTTTCTTTTGCCCGTCAGTTAATGGCATACGACTTTCCTCTAAGGTAAAGTAACTGTTTTTACGTCTTCATTATTCACACATACATAGCTCAAACTCTTTTGTCTTTGAAAATTAAAAAGTAATCTGGGCCAAGTGTTAAATTCATCTGATGAAGGACCCAATCAGCTTTCTGAGATTCGGGGATTTCATGTATTCAGACTGGACAAAGAACACCAGTGCCTTTTAGAAAGTTATCAGATGTAACAAATGTTATATTTGGGATAACAATTTCTGAGTAAAAAGTACAGATTCTAGTGCTTTTTGGAGTTGAGTGAGGCAGAATCCCACAGGGGACTCAACACAAAAAAGTACCAGAATCTGTACTTTGCTAAGAAAGTGCTATTCCAAATATAACATTTGTTACATCTGACAACTTTCTAAAAGGTACTTTGTGTTCATAGCTTTCGGCCAGAGGGATACACGCAGTACGTGACCTAGACTACCAGTTGCCGGACTTTCATTTTGGCGGAAGCCTCGATGGCTGAGTGGATTAGATCGCTGACTTTGTGTGCAGGCGATTAGGTGCCTCACTCGTATGGGACTCGTACTAGAAATGTACTTAACTAAGAACATTTGTTAAAGTCAAAGAAAATCGCATTAGAAATGTATGTCACAGTTTGGAAAGGAAAGATGACTGATCTTTCTATTACCCCATTATCTTATGCATGAAGATGCCATCAAATTGGATTTGTAAAGGACAAAAACCTTTTCAGTTGTAACTGTTTTCCATAATGAAAATAGGGAATTGTATCGGATATCGTTGTGGTCAGTGTTAAAGAGCTACTTTGTATCATCGCACATTCCAATGATGTACTTTATCAAGTTGAACAACCCAAAGTACGAATGGAAAACAACCATTTGGGGATTCCAGGTGAGAAAAGGTCCCGTGTACCCTCTGCTGGTACGAAGCGATATATGGGTTGCTGTGTGGCAAAGTAGTACAGACGATGGGGGCACGACGCCATCCCATCTGGATGAGACCCAGATCGTGACAAGCTTAGTTTCGTGGAGGTCTTAAGTTTTAAATTTTGAGGCACCATATGTTGTCGTACCCTCATCGTCTACACTACTGTGGCGTCCTACTCCGACATTGATCGTAATATCAATCATTGGTTTGTAGGCTGGGGTATTAATTTACTGGCTTAATATACCTGGAATACTGTTGTTTGTGACATAAAACATAAAACAAAGAATAAAAATAACACAGTTACGTAATACTTGTCATTTTTCAATGCGAGCCGACCGCCTCCGTGGCCTAGTTGTAGAGCGTCCGCCCGGAAAGCGGAAGGTCCGGGGTTCGATCCCCGGCCGCGTCATACCAAAAGACGTTAAAAGATGGTACTTGTTGTTACCCTGTCTGGCACATTAAGGGTCTAAAACAAGGACTGGTCGGCTCGAAAACAGTATACTGTTCCTGAGTGGGGTATTCGTGTTAAACTTCTGAATGGTATCTCAGTATAAATCGGCATCAGTCCGGACTAGTACAAGCAGCCACACACACACGCACACACACACACACACACACACGTGCATACATGTCGCTATATAAGTGCAATAATCTTGGACGCGACGATAAATCCCATTTAACCTCACCTCAACTCCATGCTAGTCAACGCCATAGAATCGAAGCTGATTATCTGCCCAAACAGATTCCATTTGGCGTAAAACGCAAAATACGGTGAAAATTCTATGAATAGATCACCAAAAATTATTTATGACTCCAGGCGTTCGCGAAAAGTGTAAGCATTTCCTGCCCTACCGGTAGTACCCGCTACTCACACAATTTGCAAAAAACAATATTTGTTGCCTGACGCAATATTTGTTGCCTGGATCTTGCTCAGACAATCCAGTGACACGATAGCGCATTTACTGACTTTGTTCAAATCCAACGTGTTCTATTTAGATCGTTATGTCCTTGGTTACCTACTCAATACAGCAAAAATCAGGAAGCCGTCCATTCAAAAGTATTGTTAATAGCAGTAATCCCAAAGCTATATCCGTGACTTGTCCTTTGGTTCTACTTCTATATTCATTTAAGTGCCTTACCCCATCCGATAATGAGAATAACGACCATCAGAGCTTTTCCTGTCCTGAAGGCTTGCACCATTATAGTGTGGAGGTAGAGGCCCTCGCAGAACATCCAGGCGAAGTTAGACACGGTACAGTACTGAGCAATCACATGCAACACCTTACACCAAACCTGCAAAAAACAAGAAACGTGTGATATAGTGGGATAAAACCAACGCGATATTTAAGCAATATTTTCTGTTTGTTGTTTAACGCCGCATTCAGCAATATTCCACTATATGACGGCGGTCTGCAAATAATCGAGAATGGACCAGACAGTGATTGGCATTATGGGCCTCGATCTTGGCTCGCTGACTGGTTGATGCATGCAATCGTATCTTAATTGTGTGAATTGATGCTCATGATGTCAATCACTGTATTGTCTTGTCCAGACTCGATTATTTACAGACCGCCGTAATGCAGCTGGAAAAATGCTAAGTGCGGCTTTAAACAACATACAAACCGATAATTTGGAAGCCTCGACGCTGCCTCGTCGATCTGAGCGTTCACCTGTTGCAATATCTTGTGGAATTGGGTGTCCGCATGTTTCACGCTGACAGACAGAGAGAGAGAGAGAGAGAGAGAGAGAGAGAGACAGAGAGAGACACAGAGAGAGACACAGAGAGAGAGAGAGGGGGGTATCGTATGGAAGTACACGATCTGATTTTAATTAGATGCTCCTGTTTTATCATCGTGCGAATACATATTCAATATTTATTAGTAAATAAGAATTCAGAGTATTTTTAAACGTAAACAAACACATTAAACTGACACAGTAATGATCGAACGTGCCTGACAGACACGCTGTCAGTGCCTGAAGCCAAACATGCAAATAGGGATCGTTATGGGGGTTACAGAATGTGACGAGTAAATCAATGACTTCCCTGGAATAGTGTTTGGAAGGAGTATTAAAGAAAGCAACATGGGAAAGGTAAACGTCTTCAGTGATCTATTCATACAATTTCCCCGCTGTATTGCTTTTAACGCCAAATGGAATCCATTTCGGGCGTTGACGTTTAACATTCTAGAATAGATCTCGGAAGTGGAACCTGTTGTCCAGGACTCAATATAAGAATGATAAACCAGGAATGCAACCCCCAGACGTGGTATGAAGTCTGGAGTCAGCAGGAAGTGGAATTATATTTTTTTCAGACTGGTACTATTGTGAACAGGGGGTTTGCTATTTTCTACTCCAATTGGTTCCTGTACGTTGAGCACGTTGAATGAAGAACAAAATAAATGGAACTACTTCGTCAAAAGGGGTACTTTAGGATTTGGGATATTTATGTTAGCGACAGAATATTTTTGGGTTACTGCTTTTGGGGACCCACGGCTCATATTTTCAGAAGATTCGGTGAGAAATATTATTTAAAACTTGAGACACATTATTTTATCCAGTTTTCCTATGCAAAAGGAATATTTGGCGATAAAGAATGTCCAATGGTCAGTTATCATTAATATCCCCCACTGAAGCCATTTCCCCCTAGAATAAGTCAATGTAATTTCAGAACAGTGGGCACAGTAATACTATGTAGTCGTCGGTCGTATTTCACGTCGAACTTAAAATCTCATCGGATTACGACAAGCTCAGCACTGTCCAGGGTTATTAGGGTTTAGAGTATGTGTGTTGTAAGAACAGTGTGGACAGTATGCACGATGGAGACATTAACCATTCCATCGATCTCATTACTAGTTTTAAAGACTTACCGGGTTTTCGACGAGCACAGTTCCGTCCAGGGTGACGAGGGTGTAGTATAGGATCCAGGCCACGCCCGTCAACAGGTAGGAGATGAACATGTTCTTGTGGATTGTGATGCGTTCACATCTCAGCTGTCTGTAAGAAGGAGTTAAAGCACCATAACACGGTGGCCGACTGTTATCCTCCAATGCCAAAAGCCAATTGCAATAAACTGTTCCAGGACAAAAATAAAACTTAGGCACACTTTTACTTAAATATCCACGACGTTATGGCATTTACCAGCCCTAGTACACGTACTCTTAATGGTTGTGTAGATTAATGATGTACAGTAAAGTACGGTTATAACGAACTCAAAGTGACTACTAAGTTTGGTTCGTTATAACCGTAGTTCGTTATAACCATATATACAGCATAACTACAGCAAATAGTCGGGACCAAAAAAATAAGTTCGTTATATCCGTCAGTTCGTTATAAGCGTGTTCGTTATAACCGTAGTTTACTGTGATATTGTTTCACTTGTTACTCAACTGTTGAAAGCTATTATAAGAGATCTATTCATGACTTCGAGGCAATATATTCATGTGCCTTTCTTTTCATATTAAGATAGTGTGTTCCATTACTAACTCAATCGCATAGCACACCCAAGGATGTGGGACATAATCTCAATGTTAATGTTAATTTTGTTGTTGTGGACTGCTGGACGGTACAGAAATGAATGTCAACCAAGCGAAATGCCATATCAAATCGGCCCAGATTCAGAGTCTTCAAGGGGAGGCTATCTGAACGACCACTGCATCGAGTTTATATACAGTGTGTCGAAAAGTTAGGCAACCCTGTAAAGTCCTTCGCTTGGATGAAGTCGGCTGGCCTGAAAAGTGAAACAGAAGGCTTTGTTTGCTGCTCAGGACCAGTCACTTCCCACTCAAAAACGTCAATGTGTGATTTTGCATCAAAATGGAAATATGACACGTAGATCGAATTTTCTGTCGCTTTTGACACCAATGTGATTGACAAGATTCGGGAAAAGCATGGCAAATATGCGGACCTCGCTTTAGAAATGTCACGCTTGCATCCCAAGAACCAAGTTGTCCGACTCCCCATTATTCTTGGTACCTTAGGTTTGGTACCTCCTAATCTGTTGACTGACATTGGGAGAGTATCCGGGTTTGCTACCAGGAATACATCCCTTCTGACAATCTGGGTAATGCAGAAGGCTGCAATGTTGGGGAGTCTTCACATTCGCCGAAAAGTTCTGGGTGAGTTTGACTGGGCAGTGCATCCTGGGAGAAGTCCCATTCGCTGTCTGGACTGCGTGTAGAGGGGGCAAGGGCCCTGAGCTGATGATGAGCCTAACCAGCCTGACTGTGCCAGGATCACCCGAGCCCTGTGTGCTGCTTTTTTTCTATTTTAATTTGTACATAATAATGATTTCTCTTGTAAGCATAAGCATAAATATATGCATTGATAGTGTATGATTCACACTAACTCCAAATATAAGAAGCTTATCATTATTGTTTATAAGAAACTTATATGTGTACGTTGCAGGCATGTAAATAATCCTAGGTACAGTGTGTGCTCCAATTCATAGCCAATACATCGCATCTGATCTCACATTTAACCCAACAAATGATCTTCACTGTAATTCTAAAAGTGGTGATAGAAATTCTTGACAATCCAATTGTTTAAATAATGGCATCACTGTAAAAAAAAGAGGTCTATCAGATTAATCTTGAGAGAGGTTTCCCGTCAGTGTGTAAAACACCTTGGGCTGGTCTCATGTTAGACCCCAACACCATGCAGGAACCATACCGTTGAACAGATTTGTCATCGCGATAATACTAATATTCCCAGTGAAAACCAATATGAGTGTGTGATCTCATTTGTCGTTATGCACACCATCGCTCACAAGAACGTATATTTTTGTGATTTGTTTTTCAATAGCATATTGATAATTTCGCAAATGTACCGTGATTATTCCGCAAATGTACCGCGATAACTCAACAAACGTACCTATCAATTCCCCATGCGCGCTGTGATTATTACCCGTGTGCGACATACGCATAATGTCAGAGAGCGCACGTTAAATCTCCAACATGTTTATTACGCAAACGTATCGCGGTAACTCCACAAAGGTTTTCTGAGGTACAGCGGCATGTTTCCGGAACTGGCTGATATTGAAAGGTAAGAAGGTGTGAGCAGCAGTATATTTCAATAATCAAAGTTCACACGTTTACAATTTAATGTTGAATTGATACCAAGATCGGCAATATTTAAATGTCTATATTCCATAAGGAAGAGATTTTAAGGATGTCAACTTCTTTATTATGAGGAACACAACGTTTCGGAGTATATGCTTACTCCTTCATCAGGTGAATGAATGCCATGAGGCAGAGAGCATATATATGTCCTTACATGAACATATATATGCTCTCTGCCTCACCACTCCCATCCTAATCATTTTTTAGAAATAATTCATTTATTCCTCGAAATCGAGAAAGCAAGGGTGATATTATAGTTCTTTCGAAAGGACATTGATGTTTTCGAAGAAATACATAATTATATATTAGTTATATTTTTCTTGATAAATGCTAACATGAATATATGAATAGATTGTTTCTCTGTTTCTATTTTCTTTTACCAAGGCTTCATAGTTCTGCAATGTCATGGTTGCAGCTTGATGTATTCGACAAGACATATGCATGTGTCCATCGGAATTTGTATACAGTTTGTACTTAGATTTATCAATTATCCCCATGTTACAGTTAATATAAAGCCTACATGTAAGTTCACATGATAATATAAATAAAAGTGACAAAACCCTTTCAATAATCATAAGAAATATCGAGTAGAGTGTACGATTCATAGTTATGATACAGGTGTTCGCGAAAAGGTGAGCGTATTATAAAGGTCGTTCTACGTATCAGGTTATGGAATAAGCTACTATTATGACATACTGACGGAGGCGTTTATCATATTTCCATCAACCGTGGTATGAATTTTGTTTCCCTTTCAGCCTACAAAGAGGAATTTAGACTTGAATGTGAGTGTATTACTTAATAGTCAGTAAAGTACGGTTATAACGAACTCGAAGGGACTACTAATTTTAGTTCGTTATAACCGTAGTTCGTTATAAGCATATATACAGCATAATTAGCAGCAAATAGTCGGGACCAAAAAAGTTCGTTATATCTGTAAGTTCGTTATAAGCGTGTTCGTTATAACCGTAGTTAACTGTAAGTGAATAGGATTAACGCCGTTTTGGCAATATTCCGGCAATATCACGGCGTGGGACAATAGAAATGGGCTTCACGCGTTGTTTTGTTTGTTTGTTTGTTGTTTAACGCCGCACTCAACGATATTCAAACTACATGTATATCACGGCGGTCTGTAAAGAATTGAGTCTGGACCACACAATCCTGTGATTGACATCTTGAACATCGATCCACGCAATTGGGATACGATGACATCCATCGACCAAGTCAGCGAGCCTGACCAACCAATCCCGTTAGTATGATTGTTGTTAGTCGCGACAAGCAATGTCGCCTTTTACGACAAGTAGGGTTGCTGAAGACCTATTCTACCCCGGATCTTCACGGGTCGTCACATGTTGTACTCATGTGGGGAATCGAACCCTGGCAATCGGCGTGTCGAGCGTACGCTTTAGCCACTAGGCTACCCCACCGCCTCTGAACTTGAGTGTGAAGAGGATTGTATGAATAACGACTGTTAAAACGCTTAGCATTTCTATTGTACGTGCTTTTATAAATTAATAGTGACAGAAGAACCATTGGGAAATAAGATCATGTTATTTAAATCCTTCAACCTGAGATAAAATAAATATTTTCGGTGTCAATGACGCCCCCACTGGACATGTTCCGACGCTGAGTTTACGTTTGAATAGAAAGGAATTAAAATAACAGTTGCCGCATTTCTGTGTACAGGCCGGAAGATTAATCTGGACCTTCATTTGTCAATATCCAGACGAGCTGGAAACGCGTAATACTACCATGCTGCCAACGCTGACGGATCGAAATGAAGTCGATCGGTCCCTGAAGTGTAGTTCTTTGCAGTCGTAAGACGTTCACTTGACAGAAACAAACAGCTATAGATTACACTGAAACTCAAGCTGGGAAAACAAGCCGAATGGGTTGATACAATGTCAGTGTGACACGCATTTCAGACAATGTGAAATTGATTAGCGAAACACATTAAGCTACTATTAAACAACATTTGTCATAAAGGGAAATCGATTTCATTTTTCTAAGAAAAAGAAACCTATCAAGTTGATCTGTTCACGAATTGTGTTTTCTAATTTTCTTTTGTTTCTGCTATAAGAGACCCTAGAGGACAATATGGATTTGGTGGGTCCAGAAATAATTAAATTTAAATAACTACGTGAATGTGTAGGCCCCATACTCGGGGGAACTTCCCATCCAAAGGAACACAATATATTTTCGACCGTATCGGACCGATGTGCTATCGGAAAAAGAGATAGTAGTGTACATATTAGGGACTGACGGAGGAATACACGAGTGATCGTTTAACGACCACACCTTCGTTGATGTAATATTGCTACGCTTCAACATTGGGACTTGTTCAGAATACCCTTTTTTCAATTGACCCAATTCCCTTCACTTAATTCATGCTTGTTGTCTGATAAAAATGTGGTAGTGCGTCCACCCGGAGAGCGGAAGGTCCGGGGTTCGATCCCCAGCCGCGTCATACCAAAAGACGTTAAAAGATGGTACTTGCTGTTACCCTGTCTGGCGCTCGACATTAATAAGGGTCTCAAACAAGGACTGGTCGGCTCGGAGTCAGTATACTGTGTCTGATTGGGGTATTCATGTTAAAATGCGGCATGGTATCTCAGTGAGCTAGCACTATAAATCGGCATCAGTCCGGACTAGTACATGCAGCCACACATACATACACGTACATACACGTCGCTATATAAGTGCAATGAATTTCGACGCGACGTTAAATCCCATTTCACCTCACCTGATAAAAATCTATTTCCATATTGCTTGAAAGGGTTAGAAAACTGAGCTTCAGGGACTGCTCAGCTTAAGAGCATCATAACAAACATGCAGTAGCTGTTGTAAGTTGTTGTTTTCTTACATCCATAGCAATAATGT